AAAAGGACTGGTCAGTTCAATGTGTTGACCTTCTGCCTTGCTCCTTGCAAGGTCCTATGGCACAAATTTGTTATGGTCAAAGTTTGTCAGGTCTTTTCTAGCATGGGACACTGTAAGATATTGACTTCCATTGTTTTCCAAGGATACACTATGACACTAATACATCTCTACACAAACTTGTACAGAGCCAGATAAAACGTTTTCTCAGAGCCATTGGGGGTTCTTTTGTTTTGTTGGAGCTTTTTAAATCCAGTTCTGCTGGAAGGGCCCTACAATGTCCATATGGCTCCAAATGCTGACAGGCTTGAGGCAGTGACCTCCTCTTTAGGAAGCCTTTTCCAGTGTTTGGTCATCCTGTGGTTAAGGCGGTGTATGTTGGGACTGAAGGATAGCATAAGAAACCTGCCTCCAGAATTTGTCCAATGCATATGAACAATTGCTATGAGCCTTGGTACTACTCTACCAGATCATATTTGCTCTGCTACCTGGAGTTTTTGGGGGAGCCTTCTTTACTCTTTGACATAGCTTTGTGCCAAGTTGTTACACATGCAACCCAAGTATGCAACCAAAGTATGAGAGATTTCTTTTATTTCATTTTCCCAGAAATTTAGCCCCGGTTATCCTTACAGATTTTTTTTTTTGGTATAAACTAGCACTCATATTGAATGTAACTATTGTCATGTTGTAACTTGGAACAAAGCTAAAATTTCATATGGCCTACCCACGAAGCATGTCAATCCTGGGAAGAACCACTACAAATAAAGAAAATAGTATACACAATTTTTAATACCTTCATACCTCTGTCAGGACCACCTGAAAAGAAGATAATTCTCATAACAGATAGACCAAGTTAGTAACTTGGTTTACTAAGTAGACTAAGGCACCAAAATCGATTTTTTATGTGATCTTAAATATTCAGCAGATGACAGTATCAAACCATAAAACTATCTGCCTATTCCAGATGAAACATTATAATTTATAACAATTTTACTCAACAGATTTTGGCTTTTTAATCTAATCAAGACTCATCTATGAACAGACTGTGTTCTTTATAAAATACATGTTTTTGTTCAAAATTTGCCAACTGGCTAGGTATTCATCATATTCCCCAACCAAAATGTTTTTACATTTCTTTCCATTACAAATTCTCTCCTGCCCTAGCCTTTCTGAGGACTGCAAATGAATAATCCATTGTGCTTAGTTTCATATTGAATATTGAACTTCTCCTATCTTTATTTTTACATGAAAGTTAACTCATGTCTTGCCATAATTCTGATAGCATGTTTTTTCTTTTTTTTCAGTTTGTCAAGTGGGATTTGCAAAATACTCTCTCTGTTCTCAAGAGCACTGTTTGCTTCACACTGACTTCACAGCACAAGCACTAGACTACATTCATGATTATTTCACACTCAGGTCCTTCTAAGTACTTAGCTGAAGCTAATATTAATTAGCTGTGAGGCACTTTATGGTGAAAGGAAAGACTCACAGTGAGTTTCATGAAAATTTGGGCTGTCCTCCCTTCTTTCCTTCCCCTTGTACATAGGTATCACTTTTAGTGGTATTGGAAGCATTTTTCAGTTGTGTGCAGCCAGAGTGCAGTGTTTGGGGCTTTTTTTAGTTGGTGTTTTTTTTGTTTGTTTGTTTTGTTTTGTGTTATTTTTTCTCTTTCATTTAGTAGTGTATGTGTGTATATACGCTCCTCCTTCGAGATTTACTGACAGAAATAAAGACTAAAATTAAAACCATGATAAGAAAAAAGACCCAGACTATTGAGAAAGTATTAAGTTATTAAAGGAAGATCTGCATTACACCCAATACAAAAATAAGTAAGTATGACATTTAGGACACCTGAATTCTTCAAGGTCATGCAAAAAAGTAACGGCCTAATTCGAGTGACTTCAATTAATCCAGTACTCACACGATGTACAATTTTTCTTTGCTTAGTGAAAGCTACGGTCTCTAAAATTAAAAAAAAAAAAAATACATTTTTGTTTTTAATGTTAATAAACCCTAGTGTTCAAATTCATCTTTGCAGATAAATGGTATTTGTTTCCAAAGGATGAGAGAGGAAGAAAAAAAAAAGTTTCACAGTTCAGAGTTCTGCTTTGCCCTTTGTTACATTTCAAAGACCCACTGAAGAAAAATACGCCTTTATAGAGAAGCCCCATAAAAATACAGTAAAGTTTTTGCATTCATTAAAAAGCTGCCCTATGAAAAATTAATTGAACATTGATGGCCTCTCTTTTATTTATGGCTGAACATAATTACATTATTTCATTAGTTTTAAAAATCCACATGTTTCTTACTGATCATCGTAAGCGAATTTTTAGAAGTTCAAATGCATGAGCATGCCAATAACTTATAATGAAAATAAAATAAAGTGGATTTTGACTCTAAGAAGTTACGTTCAGGTAAAGTATGATTTCTCATGCTCAATTTGCTGGAAAATATCTTATTTACCATAGGGATGTTTATATTACTGAGCTGGAGACAATTCATTACTGTAAAATGCTTCACATGCTGCTTTCTACTACAATACAATTATTTTATAGGTGACATTAAGGTCACCTCTGCAGTATGGAACTATGTGCTTGAAGCCTTAGTGTAAGCTAGATGTTCACTCCTAAATAGTCAAAAGCAAATCTTTCCACCATCAAATATTTATTCTCTTTGGAGGTATGCATATTATATTGAAATATGAGAAACCAAAGCATGTTTTACTGAGTTAATATGTACTTGAGGGAAATGGCCTCTTTACAAACATTGACAGGTTCTGTTACATTTAGTTTTCTACCTCCAGCAGCCACATGAACGCTTGCCTCAGGAAACGCATATGGATACACCCGTTATCTCCTACAAGCATTACTGATGTTCACATTCCTTTTTTTTTTTAACTAATTGAGAAAATAAGGAAGTATCCAAGATAAACTTTCATGTGGAAAACAGGAGATAGTGAGTGCAGTGCACTATCACTCATTTTGTGATCTCTTCCACAACTGGCTAGAAGCTTCACAAGAAAGAGAGGACTGCTGCACTTAGCCCAGGTGCTTTCTGCCTCTCATTCCCTTAGGGAAGGAGAACACTTTTGTTTTCTATCTACGAGAAAGCAGAATTAGTGATAAATTCACAGTGTGCTAATCCTGTGGGACTAATCAGCAGATAAAACACACCTAGAGATAGTATATTGAGTCTGCATGTCAACACAGAGGTGCAACAGATGTCTAGGCTATGCCACACATAAGCGAGGGTACATATACACTGGCACACTCTCTGCTTCTCTGGGTAAATACTTTGTCACCTTGCATATAAGGTCTTTTATTCTTTCTGTGTTTCTGAACATGGATCTGAATGGTGTTGGTTTCATCTGATTTGAATGGGAGCTACGAACCTTCTCCTGCAGAGAAAGTGGCAGATATTTTGCCTCTGGAAAGAATTTCTCCAGCTGCTACTTCCTTGATGGTGCTGGCAGTGAATGTATGGCAGTGAGAAGCACATGAACTCATTCAGTCAGATTATGCTATTTTCATAAGTCTTTTTTAATTCACCATCACAACTATGCTATGTTCAGCTTATCTGGAAAATAGTTACTGAAGCAAGATTTTCTTGTCCAGTTGCAAAGAGACCCAGGGAAAGCAAGTAAGATATCCCTGCATTTGGGATCTCTGCTGTCCTAATGAATTCTAAGTTGACATTCCTGAGCTGTAGAGCAAGCAAGTTGAGAAGGCCTACCAAATCAGAGCCATTTCCAAGGATAAATGTAAGGATAGTCCTCGTGATTTCATTTGAAAGATGTATCATACCTACATTAGGGTAAGGAACTATTTTTTTAACTTGAAACTTTTAGTGAACTTGTAGATTTTTACCTCCTTTCTTCATATTAAAAGGACAAATATCTTCTCCAACCTGGATTTGAGAAGTGTCAGTTAACACCTAGTCTCTCACACGTCCTACTTCCCTAATGTAGACAAGGTGTTACTTAGACAAAGTAACAGAGACTGGATTGCAAATGCCTGTTAAACACTGAGCATCGTGGGAGGCCTGCACATAAAAGCATCTTGCAGTTTGGAGAATAATGTTATTGAATGACTTAAGGGAAAAGAAACAAAACAAGGAAGTTTCTTACTTCCAGCAGCCTCAGGACCCCTGCAGCAGAGGTCTGCAGTGATTTGGTGTTGGTAGTGGCAGTATTCAGCAGCTTGTGAGGGGAAGCAGGGAACAGCCTGGGACCCAGTAGAGTCGGATGCAAAGTGCAGCCACAAACAGCGCCTCCTGACAGTGCCAGCCCATCACCAGATCAGAGGCAAAACCTACGTGTGGCGAAAACCTTCACTGACACACTGTTTCTGATCAGCAGACAGAGGCTCCAATGTCTGCTCAGGGTGCAGTTACATAAAAAGTCTTTTAGTGTATCAAACTTTGTTTGATTTTCTGTAGCAATCTCAAGCTGGCAAATGTACTACTACTTTTAACCAAAATTATTATTTCTGATAACTCAAGAAGAGATTCTAATTTACAATGTTTACTTATTAACACTGAAAGGCACATTGCTATCTTGACCCTCAAAACCATGAGATTAAGAAAAAAGAATCTTCAAATGTGACAAAATGTCAAATTTACAAGGAAACTGCTTTTAAAAATTGCTCCAGCTGGAATGTATCATTCTCATAGTGGTCTGTTTAACCCTTCTTAGCATAAATAACATTGCAGAATGACAAGGAAAAATTCAAAAAATAACAAATGAAAGATGACAATTTGATTAAACTGGTACTTTCTCATGAAGCATTTCACTTCCAACGAATTAAAGATTTGGAGGTATGAGAAATGGTTTGATTATTTATTTATTTATTTATTTATTTATTTATTTTAAATCACTGGCTGGCTCCTTATGCTTCTAAAGCTTTTTAAGAGAAATAAGGGATTCTCTTTTTACATATCATTGCTTTTTCATATATTCATGTTATTTCATCTTTGTTTATACCAATGTTTTTTTCTTATTGTAGGCAATGAGAGCCTAGAAGAAAATTATGTGCAGGACAGTAAAATGGGATTTGTCATCAATGCTATATACGCTATGGCTCATGGACTACAAAATATGCATCATTCCCTTTGTCCTGGACACGTTGGACTCTGTGATGCTATGAAGCCAATTGATGGCAGTAAGCTCTTGGAGTTCCTCCTCAAATCCTCATTCATTGGTGTTTCTGGAGAAGAAGTTTGGTTTGATGAAAAGGGAGATGCCCCTGGAAGGTAAAGAGGTTTTGTCTCAACTAATTAAACCAGAGGTTGGGAAGGGGAAATGTTACTGGGTTTGGTGCTAGAGAATTCTTTGGCTGTTTTGCTAAAAAGCATGCTAACATAAAGTTAGTCATAAATGAAGCCATCTGGATCAGGTTTTCCAATAACCAGGAATAATACTGGTAACACATGACATATTGATAGCTACATCTTATATTGGGACAGGAACTACAGTTCTAGTGTTTCAGGAGATGACCAGCCTTGTATCTCACAGACTTTTGGTCTGTGAGGTACCACTGGGGCTCAGAACCAGGGTTTTAGTATGTACAAATCCTAATACAAATGACTGGAATTTAGTGAAGCATTTGCTTGCCACAGTTTTGAAGGGAGGGCTGTAGAGTACATCCCCTTCCAACCACATCTCTGCCAAAACCTCACCAGAGACTATTTACCTGTGCTTGGTGAGCTCCCGTATGGTCTACTTAACTTGTTTCACTCTGAATACGGCCAGCTCAGTCCCAGAGTTTAAAGACAGTCTGAGTAGAGCAGGATGAATAACTGGGGTTTTTTTGACAGAAGTTTATGTGTTTCACTCATTTGAGGTGTGGTCCCAGCTTTGGTAGCTGCTACTGTCTAGCCCTCCCTAGCAGACACAGTATGTACCCAAGCAGTGGGTAACACAGCAATTTTGTGGACTTGGATGTCACCCTTGTTTCTGTTATGGGAGAGAGCTGACAGAGATCTTTGCCTTTCGTTTAGTTCGGCAGATTCTGTTAAACTGTTTTAACAGATGGATTTTTCAATTTGTTTGGTTTTTATAAATAAATTTAATTCAGCTGCTGAAGTACAAAATCCATTATTAACCGAAACCTACTCAGGGACTGCTTTATTGAAGTTAGTTTTCCTACTGAGTTATTAAAGTGTTATAAAAGACTCTCTCACTCCATCTTTGGGCTTATTGCATTAATGCATCTGAGTGCCAACACTGCACAAAGGAAACAAACAAGAGTTTTCAATCTGGCACATGCCTTCAAAGAGTATTTTTAAGACACAGTGGTCTTAAAGCAACTCTTGTCTCTATTACTAAGCTTTATTGGGAAAACTGGCCAACTTTTTACCGTTTTCTATATTGCTATATTCATTTCTATGGTTATATTTATTTCTCTTGTTATATTTAAACAGTGTATATATTTAAACACTTTGTTACATTTAATTAGTAATAAAAAGCTAGTTAGTTGGTTTGGTCTCCTTGTTCAGAGTTGTATACTTCAGATTCTTTTTAGTCAAATATACACATTAGCTAGGTCAGACTTTGAAAGTAACAGCAAGCAATTCCCTTACACTCAAGCACATGCTTATTGACACAAATGCATAAATCAAGTCTTTGCACATATAATTTAGATAATACAGAGAAATTGCTGCTTAGGGTAGCTTTAGGCTTTTTACACACCATTTGTGTCCATAAAAACATTACTCCAGCTTTGCATATACTTCATTTTCTGTCTGTTAGTTATTTGGTTTGATGTTTAGATGTAATTTTGCAATTTTAGCCCAATTCTTATTTAGTATTTTGTCACCCAAGAGCATTTCCACAACTCTCATCAGTACCAATCATAGAATTAGATTGAATAGTTTCTGAATTCAGAATATAAAAGGGGATATATCAGGATATTTCTCTGAGTGTACTAGAATGATAGAATTTATTCTATCCATCATTTTGATCTGTAGCAAGGCTCATTTCTCTCGATTCTCTGGACTATTTAGAATTTGATGGGTTATTTTAGGTAGGGTGGTTGTTTGTTGTTTCTCATTTATATTTTCACAGCTGGAGTTAGCAAGTTTTGGAAAGAAAATTCAATTAACCTTTTGGTTATTCATTCTGTAATCTTTGGATCAGTCTGTGGCATTTATGACATGGGCAATATCATATCAGAGAATGGCTATATGTATATGAAATGTGATCTTTATAGTCTGTCAGATCTTTGTATCCCAGCAGTAGTTTAACAGAATTGCATTTAGCTTCAGATTGGCTTTAATGTTTCCACAGCTTCACATGGAAGGCTCTTTGTGGATCAGTGAACAGACTATAGCACTGTACCCATACCCAAAAGAGCTTTTGTACCTCAGCAAAATGGAAAAATAAACACTGCACACAACACCTAAATATATCAAAGACAGTCTGCTCTGAAATTTTCTAGTTTTTTTGGCTTTTCACACAAATGTGTAAAAAGTTTTCATGTATCCTGTCATCATATCATGTGAACAAATTAACTTCACAAGCTGAAATAAATTAATATTCCTTCTGAAAAGGCAGCAATCTTCATCATAATTTATTCTCAAAATCTTCGAGCAATTGACTCCCACAAAATTGGAATCATCATGGGTAGAGCAGATAGAGAAGCCTGTAGTTATGTTTGTCTGACACTCACATAATCTCTTCTTTTGATGCCCTTACCAGCTTCATGAAACCTTAACCATTTGTTTAGATACAACTCTTTTTCTATCTCAGGCTCAATTCATGGTGTCAAGCTTTTATCAAAATGGGATTAGAAAACACAAAGCACTTTTTCAAAGGTGCATTTCTTCTGTGAAGAATCTTTTCTTTGAAGATCTTTTATGCAGAAATGTAATGCAGACTTTTATCAGAAGGACACAAATGCAGTCATTTAGCTGACTGCACTGCCTCTGGGAAAAAATGACATGGATGTAAGTCTGGAAACTCAACCGGATGTGTTTGCTATACTGTCATTAAGAATATGCTGGTAAAATTGCTGCACTTTCTATTTCCATTGGGTAGCTCCCATTTCCTTTCTCTGTAGTAATCTTATCACTTAAATTTCCAGAAATGGTTAGAAAAGGTGTGAAGGATACCATAGTCAATGCCACATCCTTCTTTGGTCCTATGCAAAGGGCAGAGGCCAGATACATTTCTACCTCTGGTCTATTCTAGGGTAATTGCCTCCTTTTACTTTGTGGCAGGTACTTTGTCCTTACCTCTCTAGGAAAAACAATTTGCATAAACCTTTCACCATAAAATGCTTTGCGACAATGGGCAGGAAAATTTCCCCTACAATGGACCTCTGATGTGTGGGGAAATGCTGAGGTTCACAAACTAACAGAAACATTTCACCTAACTAAAATTTTACCTTGACTAGGCTTGGACTTAGAACCACGTAAGTTTATCTAGTTCAAAATAGCTGTTCTGGCTTCAGTCATGACAACTCTGCCAACTCCAATGCTTTGAGTAAATTATCAAATGCTTAAGGCAAAGTCTTCCTTTACTTGTATGTAAAGGATTTTTTTTTTCCAAATATGCATTGCTTTTTTGGAGTTTGGATTCATGGGTGTTTGTTTTGTCCATTTACATCTCAGCATTGCTTGGCATTGCTGTTTTCCATTCTGCCTTCCAGGATAGCAAACATCACTGCCAGTCTAGTATTATGGCTATGGAAAAAGGTAAATTCAGCTATCTCAGATTAATCAGAGTAAGACTGTGCCTGTGGCCAGCATGGTCCTCACTCTCTTAGAGCTTCACAACTCTTGTCAAACCCATTTCTTGTGGGGTAATAATTCTTAGCATGGACACAGACCAAATTTGTTGAAGTTGTACATATGTAAGCAAGGGAATGGAGGGAGGTGTTCCAGCACTGAACTTGTTCTTGCTCAAAGCAGAAATTTTTCATTAGGAAAAAGAAGGGAAGGATAAAGAACTTAAGCAAACCCCAATATACCGAGATATTTGTTAGAGTACATTTTTTTCACTTAAAATTCAAGCTGCTTATCAAAGCTATAAACATTGTACAACTTGTCATATGTAAGACTGTGTCAGAGCTTTTAGTCTGCATACTTTATCCTTTGACAGATAACCTACAGAAAAGGGAATAGTATTGCAAGAAAACACAAGAAACTCTTAATTGATATTGCATTAATGCCAATCTGTGCCTTGTAGTATATTTTTTATATATTACATTACAAAATTTCATTAAGGGAATGTGAGATTTTACTAATCTTTTATTTCCTCTCTTGAATTCATTTCCAGCCCAGAGTAAGTAATTTTGTATCAGTCTAATAAAAGGTCTCACTAAAATCCAAGTAGATTTTTCTTGTTAGGAAGAGGCATGTACATTCCTGCTGAGTTTTACTCCTGTTTGCTGAGTCTCCGTTATGAAGTGCCTGACTCTCACTGTTTCATGCTATACTGATTCTTCACAAGACTGGAAACAGCATTCCTTTTTTTACGTGCTTCCATTGCAAGAACTGGAATATGAGAAGTGATTGTTCCCTAATGAATTTGAAATTTACCCCTTTCCTAAGTAATGCCTTTATTAGTAGCCAATTGCCAACCAATGGAGCTGCCTCCTGATTGGAGCTCCATTGAACTCAGTGGCAGGAATCTCTTTTCAGATGTGATTCAGTGGAGCTCTGCAGTGGCACTGGCATTATCTGAGCATGCATATTTACAAGACTGAGGTCTGATTACAGCTGTGAATATGCACTTCTTTAGATACTCTTTAACTAGAGAGACCCCAAAGACTCAGTTAAGAAAAAAAGAGATCCAGAGAGTAATTTAGCACTTTGTTCCTCTGTGAAGTGCAGAGAGAGTTGAAATTTTGCATGTTTGAACCTCAGAATCAAAAAGAAAGAAGCAGAGATCTCTCTTCACTCACAACTGAGCATCCCAGTTTTATTTATAGCTCATACTTTGCCTACCTTACCTTTCATTCCTTAAGCACATACAGGTTAGCAACACTCGTTATAAGCAAAGGATTTTTTTTCCCCAGAGACTGAGACAATCCAGTAGAGAAAAACAAGGCAATAGATCTCAGGCTTGTAAGATGGAAGATGCTTCATTGTTTTCAGCTCCAGTGCTGATTTCTGGTTCTCAGTCATCTTTCTCTTGTCCGTTTTTTAAAAAAAGCCCCCTCGCTTCTCATCTTAAGAGACCAGGCTGTAGGTTCAGCCTCTTTTGTGGTTCTTCCTCTCTGTGCACACTCCAATATTCATTCTTCCTTTCTTGGTTATTTCCTACTAAGAAACAAGCCACATTCTGTGAGCGTAAGAAGGAATAGATAAATTAGTGTTACGGGATGTGCACACATCAGGACCAACACATTGAAGACAATGATGGAGGCTGGATGTTTATTGTAGCAGTTTCTTATGCTTTCCTTACCTTAGCCTGGGGAAGTGCTCTCCTGCTTGCTTAGGGTGTGGAAGTAAATTTTTTGACTGAGCTGCTAACTTTTCCTGACCGTATCACTGGGTTAGGTAATATAAATAGTTGAACTAGTGCTTGCAGTTAACTTATGGCAAACCAGTTCAGTTAGTTAGAGCACTTCTACTTGCGAGCTCCCAGCAAGGGCTATACTACAACCAACCTCTATGTAGACACGAAGTAAATGTTAAAGACATATTGAAAAATGGTATGCAAACACACCATCCAGACATAGTCTACATGTGCATTTTTAGCAGAGTTTGTTGTCTTTGATGTGCAGTTCTTTCTGGACCCACAACTTTTTACTCACAGTTTCATGCAAGCAAGGCAGGCAATCAGCAATTTTGTGGCAATCAGAGCTACCACTTCCCATGATTCTGTTGCAAATTCTACAGGATTTGGTGTTCCTTTGAAACTCAAGTCCCTGGTGTTAAGGGATAACATGAATATTTAGAAGCAGAGGGAGAAGGGAAGGTAAATTTTTGTCCTTTTTTTGCAGGACAGTGACTCACTTTCTCTTTTTTCCCTTGCAGGTATGACATCATGAACTTGCAGTACATAGAGCCCAATCGCTATGACTACGTCCTCATTGGGACCTGGCATGAGGGTGTGCTCAACATCGACGACTATAGGATTCAGATGAATAAGAGCGGAATGGTCCGATCAGTGTGCAGCGAGCCTTGCTTGAAGGGCCAGATTAAGGTGTGCCTCAGACACTTACTTTCTGCTGTAGAAATGTGAATATCCAGTTTGTGTTTTTCCCTAAACACAAGCAAGCTTCTTTTTAAGCCAAGGGATAGGACCTCCTTTTCTTAAGGAAAGCCAAAATTGTAGAAAGACTCCTAGATTAATATTTTTCTTTAATGATCCCATACACAGGCCCGTGTTTTCTAAAATTACCCTTTGTAGGGATGCAGAATCTTCTAGTGTGACAGGATTTGAATTTCACCTTATGTGAGAAAGAACATGATTTTCACTTAGTCATTGCCTACAACATTCAGTGGCTGTGATTCACTTGGGGGCTGATCCTGAAAATATCGTGACCCATGGGAATCCACTATTTTGTTCCAGCAATAACACCTGCAAGGAAAAGTCAAAAAAAAAAAAAAAAAAGAAGCCTATTTGTATCTCATGTTCACAACAGGAGGTATGGAAACACAAATGAAATCACTCTATGTTTACCAAACAGTAGCACTCGCATCAGGCTACAAATAATTTGCGACCTGTCATGTCTGGATGACATAAAGACATGTTCCACCACTATCAAAATGGTATGGATGTAGTAAGTTTAAAATGGCAAGAAGCCCATTCAGAAAAATCTCCTTAAAGCAGACTTTCCTTTCTATATTCATTTAATAAGCACATTTGCAGCTTTTTATTTCTATATTGCTACTCTAAGCAATAAGTGATTGATGATTTGGCAGAGACACAGTGACATAATCCAGCAATCTTGGAGAAGAAACATTGTTGGTATTTACTACCCTCCAAAACATCTTTTCCCTGTTTTTGAGATTGTGCAGTTTGTGTATGTGTGTATATGTAAACACCAAGCATACAAAATGCCAGCTTCATCTCTCTGAAGTCTATTGGACTCTCTCCATAGACTACAGGAGGAAATGTTAACTAAAAAAGCCCACAAATACAGTATTCAATAAACAAACATTTTGCATTTCACTACTGTAGTTATGTTTGCATGTAGTTGGATAGGAAGATCCTGAAAAGAAGGCTGGATTTCTCCTTCCTGACAAACGGGGCCAGAGTCTTTGTCAGAGCCCCATGAGCTGGAGATATCCTTAATCTTTCTTTCAGCCTCAGGGTAATGAAACTAGGAGTCAAGACAAGGAAAACATCTTTTCAGCATTGGATCATTACAGTTAGCAGCACTCGCAGTGAAGAAAGAAAGCTTTCAGAGACATTTGTCTCTAAAAGAGCTGTTTGCTCGGTCACTGCATAATGGTTTTCTTTTCTGCTAGGAACCAATACATCCTTTTAGTAGTATGTTTTTTAATTTGCTCTTATTTAAATTTCTATTTACACTTGTGTATTGAACCCCAAAGAGACTTCCATGTAAACTGGAATTTATGTGTATGTGAATGTGCTTGTGTGTAGATGTAAATACATATGTATTATGCATGAATCACTCTTTGTTCTAACCCTGGACTTTGTTTACTGTTTTTTACCACTCAATAGATATCAAGTGTGGGCTGAACCACTTGTTCTGACCTCAACCCCCTCTCAGATTAAACCTCAAATTTGATTGAAAATACGCCACTAACCATGCCTGTGTACCAAAGGGATAATTGTTTCATATTTTTAACTCAGAACTGCTCTCACCAAAACAAAATAGAGTTGTCCCTAGAGATTATCCTTGAACTCCTAAACATAAATTTTAATATACAGGGATAGATACAAAATCATGATTATTGTTTTCTAGCTGTTTGAAATGTGCTATACACAGGAATCCTGTCATATTTTAAACAGCACATGTGTTACGTGTTTGCTGGGGGGGGTTCTTTGTTGTCTTATAGAGGATTATAACTGAGGATGTATTTTGCATTGCAGGTGATCAGGAAAGGAGAAGTGAGCTGCTGCTGGATTTGTACTGCTTGCAAGGAGAATGAATTTGTTCAGGATGAATTCACATGTAAAGCCTGTGAGCTTGGCTGGTGGCCGAATACTGACCTGACAGGTAGGGACGTGTCCCTCCAAACACATTCCCTTCCTACAGAGCACAGGGAGAATGCTCTGTGGTGGACAGTAAGGTGGCAGCATGCAGAGATATTAAAAGTACATACTTGGACACATAGTCCAGTGCAGTTTAGAGTGAGTGAAAAGTGTTATGTCTTTTGGCTTAGTGGAACAGCAGTGACAGTAATGACAGCAAAATTTCTACCAAGAAGAAACGTCATAGTCTGTTCCTCACCTTCAGCTAGCATTGATAAAGCAATAATAAAGCTGTTAAGACTGCTAATGAACTCAGCAGCATTTGCTGCAATCTAGCAGTGACTATCACAAGAGTTCAGTGCATTCTTGTCATATTGACTTGATACTCTTTCTGATCATTCTACCATGCGATTAGTAATAATTTTTGCAGTATTTCAGGCCATTCAGTAACTGATTACTGGACTGTTCATATAAAGATCATTCTCACTGTACCCACCAGCAAGAGGAATTTCAACAAAATCCTGAGAAAAGCTGGCTGAAAAGAGCTTGAATTTGTCTCCCTTGTGTATATGCTTTTGATGAATTGCATGTTATGGCATCTTTCTGTTTATTTTGTACCTCACAAGGTCAACCTATACACCTGCTCTGGGCTTTGCCAGCAACTCTTACCCCAAGAAAATAACACATTGAGAAGCATCACCCTGACCTTAACTTTTGCTTTGTATCACTGTAAAAGACTACTGGCACCTCTGTCCCATATCACATCTGCAAATCTTGGATGTCACTATTCAGCAGGGCATCATTCCTAGTCAGAGGAACAATCTGATCACCTAGCTGAAGAACAAATGTGCAACTTATCACATCTTTGGCTGGCTGGCAACTAGGTACTGATGCAACATTTAACATATAGATGAAGTCCTCAAACTTTGATTAAATTGTTCCAAGAGATACTTTAAGCTAGCCACTGAAGCCAAATGAGCTTTCAGAGGATGTCTTTTGAGAGGGAAAGCTTGCCACATCTCCAGCTAAAAACATATTATTAATCACAATAGACTAGGAAACCCGACACATTTTCTATCTTGGTTTTCCACAGAAAATAAGCTATGGTCATGTCCCAGATGCATGCATAACTGTCTATATCCTATTACTCTCACTCCAACCCTCCCACCTTCCCACTCCCACCCCTGCCTCAGCCCTGCTCTGGTGTGCAGCTGAACCTAGAAACAGATTTATCAGGATATAGAAATCTTAGTGATCATTCAGTTCCTTCAAGTTTCATGTAAGTGGGTTGTAGGAAGAGGATTTCATGAAAAATACCTTCCATAAGGGTCTCAATCGTGGGAAAAAATCTTATTTTACTAGAAACCAGAAAATACACAGAACCTTTCATAAATATCCTGACCATTGGAAGAGCTCATATTTAATTCCCACCTCCTAGGACATCGGTGTCCATTAATTTTAAAGCAGATATCCATAGACAAACAGATTTTGTTGGTCTTGGAGGTTCACAGAGTTGTTTGTATCTACTCTTCAGGGAAGAAAATGAGGACTTCTTTTTAATCAATAAGTCAGAACAAGAACCTAGTGAGAGATCAATGTGCACTTGAAAGAACATGGTTCAGTGCTACCAGCTGTTCAAAGTAGCTCAAAAGGGGTCATGTCAAAATGACAGGCACTGCTGAAAAGAGTTGAAGAAAGCATCAGTGCTGGAAATCTCAGGGGCATGTTGCAATCTATTAACTTTTAATGAAATCAGTAGATGACCTGCTGATTTGTGTTTCTTCTCAGCAAGGAGACTGGACTGATGCTGTTATAAAATCACAGAAACGCCAGCCAAATGACAGCTTAGCCACTGACTGATTTCCTAGAGAACACTGAAATGGCAGTCTGCTCCCGCACAGCTTCTTTGGTCTGTTTTATTGAGGAAAAAACCTTCTTTCTTTTAAACCCTTGAAATTCATTTACTTGAACTGTAGTATGAAGTACAAAGTTGTGAAGAGAAGCTGATGCCATCCTAATCCTTAGAAAAGGGTGATTTAGATAGATAAACTCTGGCTCTTGAACTTTGTGGGAGTCACCATTGGTATAATTTAATTTGAAATTCTCTTTTCTTGCCAGGACTCCAATCAAATGTCTTTTTATAGCTTGATTTTATGTGTTGTATTCATACCCTGATAGTCATCTAGACACAGACGGTAATATCTCAAAGTTCAGATTATTTTTCTCTTTGCCTTAAATCTTAAATGCTAAACACGTACACAGTTTTAGTCCCATTTTGCATCACAGATGGAGGCTCTAAAATCCTTAATCCCTTTAAGAAACGTGAAGCACATACAACCCATTTCCTATGACATGCTTTTCAAGGTGCTCATTCTCTCCATTTGAAATCAGTCTCTGTTGCTGAGCAATCCTTTCCTGATATTTTATTTCTAAATGTAAACAATTTTTTTTAGAGTGCTTCTCCTAAATATGAGTTTAGTGAAGTTGAGTCAGCAGGCGCAAGGGATTTCTCACCACAGATGATGAAAACCTGACCTGACAAATAGTCAGTAAAGCCAGTACCTTAGGCCTTGTGCCAAGAGAAGAGATATCTTTTATAGTACCAGAATATAACATAAGAAGGATGAATGTCAAGCTAGTAAACCTAGTTTACATAAATAATCTTAAATAAGCAGTAAATCAAGACAGGACAGGAACTTTTATAGATTTATGAAATTAATCATAAAGTTTTGGGGCCATCAGTTACCTGCGATGTGCTAATGACCTCAGACAACATCATAGATTCTTTTATTGGCCTTGCACTAATAATATAATAATTACAAAAAATAATTGATTACCCTTCTGATCTTGGAAATTATTCACGGTTAAAGTGCAGGGAAAATAGTAGATGAAAGCTACCAGACAGCCTTTTACTAGAAAATTTTAACTGTGAAGCTTTTGCCACTTATTCTCTGGTTTTTTGAAGTTTGGATTAGTTGTTATGGGTTTTTTGTTTTGTTTTGGTTTGGTTTTTTTTGTTTTGTTTTGTTTGGTGTTTTAAAGTCATATTTACACAATTTCCTGGATATCCTCCCCCAGTCTCAACAAGGTTCCAGAGCCCACCTCCTCCTAGCTGGGAAATGACTGACCTTCACAGGTGTTGACAACCAACAACTGTTAGCTAATAGTAAGCAGTGCTGGAAACTTTCTGCATTGTTTGTAGAACATGTGGTTCTTGGGCTTGCTGGTGCACAGGAATTACACTGATTTAATGAAACAGATTTCTAAGACGTTATGCAGGATAAGCTTAAAGAAATGATAGGCTTAACTACCATGTTGGATCTGTGCTAAGGCTCTGAAAATATAGTTTAAAATGGAATAATGTATGTCTTGATGTTGCTAAGCTTAAACTCCATATTGAAACTTAACCCTTCCAACAACCACTGACCAATTTCTTGTTTAAGAGGAGCTTTGCATATATTAATCAATGAACAGGAGCTTCTGATCCTTAGTCTTGTTTTAAATTATAGGAGCTAGCTTCCCCTCAGGGTAGCTGAGGCCAATGGCCAAAGATTTCCACTTTTAATAAAGAGCTTTTCCTCCATACCTCACCATAAAAATACTGCCTGAAAGTACTTGTTTCCTCACCTATCTGAGTCTTGAACAGACCACCTTTCTTTAAAAAATAAGACCTCCAGTTGCAACTGCTCTAATTTCTATTAGTTTTGATGTTACAAGCATGTGTAACAACAATACCCGTAGTGAAGTCAGCCTGGTGTCCTTAATGACAAAGTGTACAGAATTATAGGACCTTTTTCAGTTCATATGACATTGGCAGACATTCAAAGTTCAAGCAGAAATTTTTCATGTCAGGACTTTGCCTTGGGCTGATTTTTTTTTTTTTAGATTTCAAGAAAAAAACATTTTTTCTCCATCTGTTTCTCAAAACTAGGTTACAGTAAAACTGTTCCACCCTGATCCAAAATCCAGATCTCTGCTTACTTCTCTATTATTTGGAGGGTAAGAAGTTTACATTACAGTAGAGTTATCACTTGGTAATTTTTTGTCACCCTGTGGAAAATGCACGCAAATTAAGTAAAACTGTGGGTCTCAGAAGTTTTTAGTTCATAGATGGTTTCTGCAGATACACTCCATACTGGGGAGGAAGGGTCTGAGCACAACTTCTGCCCATCACAATGTCAGGGCCCTTGTTAAGGTTTAGTGACAAAACTGAGAGAAAAAGATGCATCTCTCAGAAGCTTGCTGACACCATCCCCTTTTTCCGGCTCTTCTCAGCTGTGTCCAACAACTCAGACAGGCAGAATTGACGAACAGCCAGTCCAGGTTGTGAAGAGGTGGACCAGATGTTTGTAATGGAGACATCTGGGTGGAGAGGTGGCTAGGAAAAAAAATAACTGTAAGAGGAACTGAGATGGGGATGGCTAGGAACTGGGGGGAAAGATAGTTGAGAGGTGGGAGAAGGCACAGAAGGTGAGCTGGGTCCAAGGGAAACTGTAGGAGGAAAGAAACAAGAAGTAGAAGAAGCCATGGATACTTTTTTTGGATTAAAAAAGTGCTAAAGAAATTAGAAAATGCCAGAATGAAGGTTTTCAGTAACATCTTCTGAATCACAACATCTTATTAACACAAGGAATTTTATTTTCTCTGTAATGTTTATTGCGGGAATTATTTCTTCAGTACAGGGAGGAAGGTATCTAGAGACTGTTTTAACTTGAGTGTGGGAGAGAGCAGTTAAGTACCGTCTTAACAGATACCTGTATTTGCACGCCTTTACTAGTCATAGAGGAGACCTTTTCCAGTTATTTTTTGAAGGCATGGATATTCTTTGGGTTTGATTTTTCCAAGAGAATTAAATTACATTATTTAGTGGAAAAACAATGAGTATAGGGTTTGATAATATAAGAATAAGTTAATGTTAAGAGAAAAAAAGTATAAATATACTAAGAAGGTACAGAATCCATGGTATAGTTCCATTACAATTTTGGATTTATTTTTATTTTTCTGTCCATAGATCCCTAATTAACTTATATTATGTATAGAATCACCTTCACAAAAATGCAGTGGGTCAAAATATAATGATTTTGTTTAGGATTAAAATAAGTTAACCTGAGGAGGTCAAAACGCTGCTCATTCTGATTTGTAACAATCCTTTCCCTGCTGAAATGAAAAGATGGTGCTGAGTTTGTCTGAATTCTGTTCCCAGATTTGCCTTTGATATGCTGGGCTTGTAAGCAGGTATCTCAAGAAAACTTATGAAAAATTTCTAAATCACATTTCCAGTTGTAGCATCATGAGTAAATTTTGGGACAACCAAAACTGATGTGTGTTTTTTGAATATATTTCATCCAAACTTCTCCATGCTGTGGTTTATTCCTTTGTAAAATGGCTTTAGCAATCCATGGCACACGGGCTTATGCTAATGTTTGGATTACACAGGGATACAGGAAAAAAAGTTCTTCAAGCAGCTACCTTTCTAACACTCTGTTTTTCTTCCGTACACTGCAGGCTGTGAACCCATCCCTGTAAAGTACCTCCAGTGGAGCAATATAGAGTCTATTGTGGCTGTGGTCTTTTCCTGCCTGGGGATCCTGGTCACCATGTTTGTCACCCTTATCTTTGTGCTCTACAGAGACACCCCTGTTGTCAAGTCCTCCAGCCGAGAGCTCTGCTATATTATCCTTGCTGGCATCTTTCTGGGTTACGTCTGCCCTTTCACCCTTATAGCCAAACCCACCACAACATCCTGCTACCTCCAGCGCCTTTTAGTGGGCCTCTCCTCTGCCATGTGCTATTCTGCCCTTGTGACCAAAACCAACCGCATTGCACGCATCCTGGCAGGCAGCAAAAAGAAGATCTGCACCCGCAAGCCACGTTTCATGAGTGCATGGGCCCAAGTGGTCATTGCCTCCATTTTGATCAGCGTGCAGCTGACACTGGTGATCACGCTGATCATCCTGGAGCCCCCCATGCCCATCCTCTCCTACCCCAGCATTAAGGAAGTTTACCTTATCTGCAACACCAGCAACCTAGGTGTCGTGGCTCCTGTGGGCTACAATGGACTCCTCATCATGAGTTGCACATACTATGCCTTCAAGACTCGCAATGTGCCTGCCAACTTCAATGAGGCCAAGTACATTGCATTCACCATGTACACCACTTGTATCATCTGGCTGGCCTTCGTGCCTATCTATTTTGGGAGCAACTACAAGATCATCACGACCTGTTTTGCAGTGAGCCTGAGCGTGACAGTGGCACTGGGGTGCATGTTCACTCCTAAGATGTACATCATTATAGCCAAGCCTGAGAGGAATGTCCGCAGTGCCTTCACCACCTCAGACGTGGTGCGTATGCATGTCGGGGATGGCAAGGCACCTTGCAAGTCCAACACTTTCCTCAACATATTCCGGAGAAAGAAGCCAGGGGTTGGAAATCCAAAGTAAGTGGATTGACTGCAGGTACACATCTGTCTGTGTATGTCCCTCTCTTTGCCATTCTCTCTTGATTGACTGTAGCCTGCTGAATAGTAAGGTATGTAACAGTTTTTTTATCTCACATGTAGCAGAAAAGGTGGAAATGACCCTTCAGGTCTAAGCCTCAGATGGATATTGATATGTTGCTTATTATCTTCTCTCCTGCTCTAAAGGCAACCCTGTACACAACAGCCTCTACCACTGGAGCAGGTCAAGCAGTGGCAGAGTAACCAAACTCCATTTGCAGCTTCTCCCATCTCTCTGTGCATGTGACAGAGACTTTATTCCCTGACGTGCAGTTGCTCTGCGTTATTTTCAAACTGAGGTTCTATTGTAGCCTTTCGGAAAAAGGGAAAAGAAATCCATGTTTGAGTGGTTGTAAATCACATATACTTGTCTAAGGCCATTGGAATGTGTGTGTGAAAGCTGGGGATTGAACGCTGGTTTTTAAGGTAGTGTTTTGTGACAGTTCTCATGATCATGATTCAAAAGCACCATCCATACTATCTCTATTTTCTATTTAATATTCAGAATTGTGACCTCTTATAGTCTTACGGTAAATTTCTCAATGTTCTCAAACCCAGTATTGGTGTGAAAGTTGCAGAAGTCAACTGATGATGAAAATGAACTTGCATCCACATCTACTGAACCTGTTATTTTCCTTGCTGATAATTAAAAGCAATCCAGATGCAGCAGAGGGGGAGAGAGAACTGTTAATTCAAATAGCATATCCCTGTGAGGAGCTGTCTGAAAATTTGTATTCTTTATTATCTTATTGCTTTTTAATCTTTAAAGAAGGACCATAGAGCCAGACATGAGCTTAGATTATTTTTTTGTCCCAATTAAAAAAAAATCAAAATAATAAAGCACTAGTGAAGTCTACGCTCCTGAGCTTCCTAATGAAATTAAAATTCAGTTAATTTCTAGTTTTATGGGATCTGCTGGTTTATCTGAGTCACTTGAGTGGATTTTTATTCAGTTTACATAAGAACCATTTTTATCTGTCCCAGTGATGAAGGTAATACTCTAGAAAACCCCTTCTGTGATCAATTTTGCCTTTATGCTACTTCAATTTTATTTTTTTGCTAGACAAGGGGTATGCAGAAAAGGAAATGGATACATAACTGACCCAAATATATAGCTCAGTGTGCCATGGAGGCCACAATAAGACTGCCAGCTCCTGAGCTAGACAGAGGGACCAGGAAGTGACAAGCAGCCCTGGGAGCCCTCCCTGCAGGGAGATGGCCAAAAATCTTTGTAGCTCAAGAGTTTGAATTCCATGCAAATAGAGAGATGGAGCCTGATCTACCTTTCTCTCACTCTGTGGTAGTTGGATCGGGACTCAGATGTCTGCTAGAAACCAGTGTGGTGTCTCTGCAGTGCCGTCTTTGGATAACATAGTTTGGTCTCTGGATAACAGCTGGATGATGTCTGTCAAGAAAAAAAAAGGACTTTTGAGAATTTAGATCATGAGAAACTTAGTAGCTAATTCTCTCTTGTGCTTATTGTTCTTCTACTTTTACAAAGAAAAAAAAAGTAATTCAAAGGTCCAAATGCAATATACTTAGAATACAGTTCTTAATATGAGAAAATATTTCATCCTTTTCAAAAGCTGAGCTTCCCTCTCAACACCGTCACCTTTAAAACACAACAGGGCTTACCTGAGCTTTTTACCAATTTGTTAAATAATTTTAGTACAATATTTTTGACCTCTCTGTTGAGCCTACATGAGTGTTATGAAGCTATAAAGCTTTACAGAGTTTTAAGTTGCTTTTCTAAACTAAAAGCTCAATACCTAGTTAATATGCCTCTTTGTCTTAGGTTAAGCCTCCATATCTTTTATACAACCAAATTCCAACCTCTGACCTAAACCTCTTGTGCAGTTACTGTTATGTCCTTCCCCTAAACCAGCACAGGTGCAGAGGCACGCTAGGCTTGCTGACGGAGAAGGACAGAGTACCTCTCTATACATCCACATGAAGAATGGAAAGCAGTTTACTATACAAACATGCAGCTTTTGAAATAAAGCCATAAGGCAAAACAAAAAGTAATTTCAGGGCTTTGGGGGTTTTTTTTAACTCCTAGTCGAGTCCATTGCAAAGCTTATGGAGGCATTGTGCTGACACAGAAAAAGAAGTGTGAGTCACTGAGGAAACCAAGAAGGAAAAAGTATAATTTGCTGCAGCCTTTGAAACACCTAGGTAGCTCAAACGTGTAGTAAGGTCCTTCCTGAAACAGGACTTAAAACACGCTTATGCCTATAAGAATGGCCTCCAGACTGATTTTCTATGATGGTTTTGGTTTTGGAGTTTTGTTTGTTTGTTTTTTGTTTTGGGGTTTTTTTTTTGTTCCCTATCAAAGTCTAGGATTTATTTGCCAGTTTTTCAGGAAGTCAGATCCGTGTATGTACGTTGCTCTGGTTCTAGATTCTTCAGTTGTCCCTACCTATGGCCACATTTTTCTGTCTGTAACTGGCCAGCAGTGCTGCACTCAAAATATTTCTGTTTCAGCTGTCTTACAACTTTTCATCTATTTACTTGTTATCCCTTCTCTCCCTTCCTAGTTTGTTTTTCTTTTTCTGCTTTCCAATTTTCATCTCTTTTCCTATCTGTATCAAACTTCTCTGCTCAAACCACTGAATTCCAGTTCCTGAACGGAAAAGTGGCATCCATCTAAATTAAACTGGTGTGCAGGCATAGGGTTAAATTGAATTAGCTTTAAAAATGGAAACCAGTTTACATTTACAAGGGCAAATCAAACTTATATAGGCCTGCAGTTTCGAGGATTTGAACTTTCTCTTACTTTGATTGAATTAAAATGCAAGCAATTACAGTCAGCATTCTTTTCAATAGAGCTTGTTGGGAACTGTCCAGTGGAATACATTTTCCCTCAGAAAATTCTGGCCCCTCAAAATGTTTCATAGAATTAGGCTTTGATGATAGGGATTCTGCCTGGGCCAGGGGGAATTTTTTTTCTCCCCATGGAGAGATGAAGGCATTGGGAAAGCATGAGGGAACTTCACACCAACAGTTAAAGCACTCAATTAGGTTAAGAGCATCTCCTTCACTTCCCACATGAATGCTCTATAACTAGACTATGCAGTGTCCCAGGGCAAGTCTCCTTTCTCTGTGTTCTCATCCAGCAGTATTGTGAAACAGATGAAAAACATCCTGATGCAAACCCTAGAGAAATACTTTGTATTATTCTGTGAGAGTGCTTGAATCTGGGTCTGAGAGATCCCTTGTGAGTGTCTTCAGTACCAAGCAACTGTCACTCTTTCCCTCTTGCCAAATGAATATTTAAATAAGTATAAAAAATAGAGCAGCTCCACTAGGAGAGATGAAGAGAGAGTGATATCTGCTGCCTTTATTGAAGCTTTATGGGGACGTTTATTGTTAGTTTGCTGCTTGATAGTGTTACAAGATACTGGCTGTTACAGGATGATGACATAGGAGCATTTGTTAGGAGAGCCTTTTGAATCTAATTTTTTTTCTATCCGTAAGATTGCAACTTTTGGAGATGGATCTTGCTGTGATGATTAGCCTTGTTCTTGGCTACAAATGTTTGGTCTACAAGGGTCAATGAGTACTCCTGTACAGTATCTGTATGACCACTTTCCTGAAGAAGCAAAGCTCCTTTCTGTACTACACACAGAAGAAAAGTATCCAGTGACACTTAAGATGATAATTCTGATGAGGGTTCAGGAAATACCTTCCCCAGTCACTGCTTCAAATGGACCCAACTCAATGTGCTGGAGACTGAAGCCAGATTTGCAGCCTTCAGGTCTGTTGTGTTGCTTTTCTGTAGTACACACACAATTCAAATAGAGTTTGAGCCTCGCAGCAAGACTCACCTCTTCTCCCATGCTTCTTGCGGGCTGCAGTAGCATGAGAAGGATCAGTGTTGCAGGAGGGGAAAAAGTTCATTGTGTATCCTTGCATAATTAGCTCCAGGTTTGGCACTGATAATTAGCTGCTGCCTCTGTCGTCACATATAAATTATTTTAAATTTATGTTGGAGACCCCAGTTCTGGACACCATTTTAATGCATTTTGAATCAGAGTAGGTAAGGATTTAATTCTCAATATAAGTTCTGCAGCAAAATCTGAGTTGATAGGAAGGTCAACTAGTAAGACTCACTGAATGGCCAGAACTCCACATTAATGCATAGGCCACCTGCTTCTCCCTTATAATTTTAATATATTTGCATTCAATTATTTTTCCTCCAGAGAGCTGTCTGCCCTCAAAAATGAATAGCTGATTTTAAATATTTCCAAACATGTGGTTTATCTTTTTAACATGTTTTGGCAATCCGTGCCTCTAGACTGCTGTCACAGCCATCCATTCTCAGCACTGCCCAGGCAGTCATCTGGACCAAGGATCTCTCAAAATGGCTTTATTTTATTCCAAAAAAAAGTTCCAGAAACACCAAAATGCCCTAGTGCCTTCTCCCTGCTTCCTTTACAGAAGCCCATTCCTGTCCTTTGTCCGTTCTCTCTCTGTGCTGGATCCTTACATACAGTTTCTTAACGGTAATCATGGTTCTCAGTAACCTCTAGTACCATGTCTGTTCCCTTAGCATGGCTTAGGGGAACCACCTGCTTTTTTGTCTTGCAAGTTATAAAATTATCTCTAGGTATTCTTAAGCTACTCTTTCTACTTAAACTGACTTGGTGAGTTGCCATTTGATCCTGAGCTAGCTGTGCTGACAAGCCGTGTTTTTCCGGGACTCATTTCACTTGTCCACAGTGAACTATGGACTCACAGTCAACAAAGACTTTTGGGCTCTTCAGTTCCCTAATTTTCAAAGCCTCCCACAGAAACAGGGTGAGGGGAATCTTAGCATAAGTATGTCCAGAAGGCAGGACATTTTGTTTCACTGGTTTTCATGCCAGTGGGAGGAGGCAAATGCACAGTGCAGTATGGCAAGAGCTGGAGCTTCCAGAAACAGAGAGTAAATGTTCAGC